ACCAAAATGGAAACAACACCAACACCGCAACAGCCGACGGCCTGGGAATGCCCGCATCGGCCAAAAGCACTAAAGCACGGGAATCTACTCTCCTTCACTTCGTCTACGTCTCAGCTTAGAGAGTGGGGGACTCCTGATGGAGTATATGGGTCTGAGCCTCCGGACCCACATACTCGGAAGAACAGAAAGCTCAAGACACAGAGTGGCGCCCTCGTCGGCCAAGACGCCCCCGTCGGCCGAAAAGGTGCCAACTCAGATTGTGGTCCTGAACCCAAGGAACCCGGGTGCCCTCGTCGGCCGTGCCCTCGTCGGCCGTGCCCTCGTCGGCCACGCCCTCGTCGGCCACGAAGACCTCACAGAACCGGATTTTATACTTACTCATTTGTACAGCCCATTAGTGGCTTTGTATTCGGCCCAGTAGCGGTCCAGTTGTAAATGGGCCTCCCAAGCCCAAGGCTTGGGAGCCCAGCCCGTATTTTCTCTATAAATACTCTCCTTGGGAGTAGTTATAGGAGTTACAAATTCATTCTATTGAAGCATATTACTGCACTTCTCTCTCTAGCTCTCACTTCTCTCTAGATATACTCTATCACATATATACTTCCATCTTTTCAAAATTGAGGATGTTCATGTGAGTCTTATTAATCTGGATATATCACATATTTTCATCTAAAGTTGAAATAGAACAAGTTTTATTCATGAAGAAATTAAATAAGAAACAATTAAGTCCACCAACTTAAATAACACTCAATTAAACCCACGAACACATAAAAGATTCAAAATGGCTTTTTAGGCGGTGACATCCCGGTTTCCTGGTTAACTTTGTTGACTGGGATATGCGTTGGCTTTTAAATTTTCTTACTCCCTCCGTCCCAATTTGATTTACAAAATTTCCTTTTTTAGTTGTCCTAAAATGGTTTTCCACTTTCTATTTTAGGTATGTAAATAAGAATAAAGTGACAAATTTACCCTTACTTTTACTTTTTCCCCATTAACTTAAAGGCATCTACTTTTAGAAAGATGGGCAAAAGTGTAAAAAGCAAGCATCATTTATTGTCATTTCATAATCATTGTGCCGGTCAAGTTTGCAATTCAATTCGGGACGGAGGGAGCGAGGGAGTATTAATTTTTTCTTCTTTCCTTTCTCTCTCTTTCTTCCCCCATCCCCTTTTCTTCTCCGGATGCACTCTCTTGGGCCTGCGATTCTCCCTCTCTCTCTTTATTTTACACTAGGCGGTCTGGCCAATTGGGATCCAAACACTATGACCTTATGATATCAGAATTATAATTAAACATTTACCATTTTGACTAGGTGATTATTATTTATCTACGTTTGCTTCTAAATGAACTTCCTTTATGAAGTTATGAAGTAGTTGGATTGACTGATTCCGCTGATTTATGAAAAATATATTAAAAATAATTTTTACTAATAAAATATATAAAAAATAGCTAAAATGATCTTCTACAGTAACTTCAGCCAATACAGCCCGAAAAGTAACTAAACCTTACTTTTTCCAATTATTACACAATTCAACGCGCAAAATCAAAAGTTACGTGTTTGGTGAAAAAGCAGGTTGATAAGCTTGATAATCCGAAAAATAGTATGATCAAAATTTCTTACATCTTAGAAAAATTTCTAATGTTGATGTGAGTTGTAAACATGAAGTTAATCATGATATATCCGATACTTTAATCTAAACTTGAAATAGAACAAGGTTGATTCATGAAAAAGTTCAATAAGAAAAATTATTATAATTCACTGCATATTAAAATGGTGTTAGAATTGAAGTTACATAAACTTGGAGAACTTTAATTAGGTATAAATTTTGTGTGAAGCCATGAACTAGGATGCACACTATTCTTAATCTTAATAAATTCATTTGAACATAAAAACACAATATTGATCGAGAACAATGATCTGAGAGTTGCAGCCGCAGCAGGACGGTGGTCATGCTTTTCCAGAAAACAATTTAAAGCTTATTACATTTCAAAGTATAAGAAAAATTAAGATTATTAAGTGAAGGCGAAATTCAAAACAATAATCTATACTTTTAGGGATTCTATAACAATAATCCCTACTCAAATTGTATATAAAAATAATTTTAACTAGTATAGTGTCTATAAGAATAAATTGAGGTGAATTCAAAATGATGTCCTTTTAATACTATCAATCCCTACTCTAACTTCTCTCTTCACCGCTCTTCTTATCGAAGTGAATTAAAACTAAAACCCGTTTAATTTTAATGTCATTTCCGCCATATGTAGTTCTTTCTAGGAATGAAGATAGAAGTATTACCTGAAAAGAAGAGTGGTGAAGGGGAAAGTAGAGGTAAGATTTGGGAGAATTAAATGGGAAATAATTTTAATTTACATCAATTTATTTTTGTGGACACTATTGCTAGTGCGGATTATTTTTATAAATACTCTCAGTAGAGATTATTATTATAGAATCCCTAAAATTAGAGATTATTTTTGTGAATTTCACCTAAAATGAATATGCGCACTTCATTGAGTAACAATCTTTATTTACAAAGAAAAATTTGAAGAAAGAAAATTTGATGTATTTGGAATAACGAATTAGGGAAAATATTTAGGAGTTTATATGAACTTGGAAATTCTTTTTAGTTGATTGACAAGTTTCTTCAATTGAGTGTCATTGTCTAGACGCAAGAACATGAAGAGCTTTCGGGTGTTATTAGTATATTATATTAAATATAATAGAGTATTAAAATAATATTTTGAAATGATATGGTTCGATCCGGGTACCCGTTTTTCAAATTTTAGTACCCGTTCGGTTCCTAAGTTTTTAAGAACCCGCCTCACCCCGAACACGTATTACCCAGCCCGACCCGCAGTTCCCGTACCCGTTTGCCCACCTCTATTCTACCTGCCTCCATTGGTCTTAATATATATGGACATAGGCTTACATATTGTTAATTGATACGTAGTACTTAATTAATTGGTATTACGTGAGTGCCGCATGCCACACGAGAAGTTGTTCCATTGAATTAATTAGAAAATTGAAGGATTAATAACTTACATCTTCCTCTCCAAGTTTGGTCAACTTAAATTATGAAATCAATATTGACATCATTAAAAAGTTAGAAACAAATCCACTAACAAATTATATATCCTTCTCAAGATATATAATAATTTGCTTAGACATGTAACAAATGAATGAAATAACTCAAATAATAATTTGCTTAGACATGTAAGGAATGATAAAACTTTTGTTTTAACGGTTTTCAGTCTTAGATCAGACCAGATCAAATTAAACTTAAACAAATCAGATCAGGTCACACTTTATATTTATAAAATAGTAAAATACACATAGGTCGAACATTTATCAGACCAGATCAAACTAGTTCATACCAGATCAGACAATACTAACACACAAAGTAAGATGTGTATTAGTGCAATCAATATTGACATCATTAAAATTTAGAAACATATCCACTAACTAATATTGTAAGATCCCTTAACAAGTAATCATTGCACAAGTAACAAGAACTACACGTACATCTCTACCATGAAGTATATACATCGATAATATAAGTATTAAATATTGATACAAAACTTGATATTAATTACATAGAAGAAATCAATTTATAATCAACAAATAATTCAATAAAACTTCCCTCAGTTAAAACAAGAATTACATCATAGATTAAGCTAATAACATTCTGAAAGTTGGGACTAGAAGTAATACACTTGAGCACCAAATTAAAATTACTCTGAAGATAATAATTTGTCTAGACATACACTTCAACATCTCCAATGCACAATAAACCAAAGAGGGGTTCCACAGTAAAAACAAATTGACTATAATGGAACAACCCATCAAGCACCCTTGTCTCATGCTCAACTACGTCTATCTTTAAAGTTCGTTAGTTTAGAGTTTGGATTAAAATTTCAAAACTAGCTAGCAACCCTTCCGAAGGGGACTGAAAAATAGGGACAAATTAGTAGAATAAAAAACCTTTCCACCCCTTTTGTCCCCTATGAAATCCCCTAACCAAACAAGCGAGGAGGGAAAAATCATTTCAGAAGTATAGCATCTCCTAAATCTGAAGCAACAAAAACAAATCTCTATTTTCAATCAACTATAAGTGTTAAGCCATCCTCGTATTGTACAAAATCAGTGTAAAGTTGTTGAATTCATTCCGATAGAATTAATGTAGTCTGAACCGACTAGAAGTTTGTATTAATAGGAAACTGCCCCAACAAAAAAGGATCCCTTCATGGGCATATTACTTACAAGGAACAAAATAAGCTCTCCATGTTCATTACTGGAAAAAATCTCTCCATGTTCATTACTGGAAAGTGCATCCATAAGTTTAGATAATAATTAATTCAAAAACCTAATCCGAGTCATGGTTCTAAAAACAAACAAACTAGTTTAGCATATAAGAAGATACTCCTTAATAAATTAAAACAAAATTGCAATGAATGATAACGATAAAAAATCTCAAACACATACATGCAAATCTCAAAAACATATCTAAAAATCGGAAATCAGCAGGCGGTTAGGCCGTGATTCAGCAAGCAGCGAAGTTGCCAAGCAAGCACCGGCGGAGGGCGGAGCCTGAAGCCAATCAGGTCAGAGGGCGGAGGGAGAAGCCGCATAGGACGGAGGTCGGATCGCGGAGTACGAAGCAGCACAAGACGGAGGGCAAAGGGCGGAGCTAGAGGAAAAGCCAGATCTAGGTAGGAGGAGAAGAGCCGTCGCATACGCTTCTGCTTCGTAAGGATGCCAGATTGCCGATCTCTAGGGCTGTTTTGATTCAGGTTTTGTTATTTTGAAATAAAAAGATGAATAGTTAAAAGGCAGAAGTTTATATTTGAAAAGTAAATTTTTAGGTGACATAAATGAAATGCAATTGAAAAAAGTGTACTAAACGGGTTATTTCCACAAAAAATTTTAGTGATGGACCAGTGTCCAAAACAATAAGCCCAGTGCCATATAAAAAACTACAGCCCAAAATACTACCAAATTGAATCGCAGCCGGGCCAACTAAGAGACATACGGCCATCTCAACTCTCTCGACAATCTCAATTCTCGACTCAGGACTCAGGTCAGCCACTGGCCCACTCAGCCCGCCACTCCGCCAGCCCGGGACACCGGCGATTCAGGGCGCCGGCGACTCCGACGCAGTGCGCCAGCCGCCAGTTCGAGACGCCAACCTCTTGGCCTATTCCAACTCCAGTTATCTCTACACTTTTTGTAGTAGCAGGTGAAGCTTCAATTTATCTTTGGTCTGTTAGTCACACGCCACCTGATCGATGAAATGCCACAGAGGAGGTGAACGAAAGTATGATTATAATGTGATGGTGAACTGTATAGTGAAGAACCCAGCTTCTGGTGGTTCAGTGGAAGCAGGTTTCGTAGAAATGTTATTGTTGTGAAGTTTTGTTAGGCGATAGCCATGAGAGCTGTGAAAAACCTCCTCTGTGTGTCAAGGGTTTTGTCAGCCAGGCAGAATGCTGTGATCAGAATGAATTCCATTTCGTACCACTGCTTGGAGGAACCGAAGTTGGAGTCTTTTTCGTCTGATTGGTATGAAAAAGCCTTCTCAAAGCTATCAATGTTATCTCACTTGCTGAATAATGTGGATGTCATTAACGGTAGGACTGTTAATGTGATTGATGAATCGATAATTGAAGATGATGTTTTGCTAGAAAACATGCATCTTTTTAAGTCTCTAGCAAGAGATTTTATTGGGTGTCCTTTTGTTCAAGAAATCATTAAGAAAAATATTATTATGTCTTTAGGGAGCAACGCAAAGGAGAACCAGCAGCTTCCTTGTTTCAATCAAGCTGGTGAGAGAGAACCAATGACTGTGGATTCACTCACAAAGGTTTCTGAGATCTTGAATATTTCAGCTCAACAAAGGAAGGTAGTCAGGGCAACGATATGCCCCCAGGTAACTCAACATCAGATATGGACTGGTGCACTTGAGGTGATACTAGATAAGTTGAAATCTGAGATGGAGTATTTGGATTCTAAGTTCCCTAGTAAAGAAACTAAAATGGCAAAGCAAATAGTTTTGAGCTGTCTGAAGGTTTTGGACATTGCCATTTCTTACAACCCCGATTCCAGTTCATGGATGCGAGTTGCACCCACAAGAGATGCCAATTCACCTCCAACTTCACACAAGTGGGAAGACATTCTTGAGATGTTCATTGATCTTGCTGACGGCTTGAGTGAGGTATCAAAATTATCTTTAGAGATTAGGAAGATAGAGGTCATGAAAGAAGGTCTGTATCAGATAAGGGATATTCAGATAGATAAAAACATTGGATACAGGGAAAATCGCCATCAAGAAAGCTTAGTACAAAAGATATTAACTAAGAGACTGGGCCACTCATCTCGGTGCTTATTTACACTTCTCACTTATTATCTATATGGTAGCGTAAATGATATTGAAGTAGAAGTTCGTGGGGGACTATACGCTGTTGGTCATGGGGATAAGTTCCGCCTTTGCATGGGGAAAATATTGACATCATATGAAGACAAGATGCTTTTGAGAGGAGTGAAGCAGCTCGAACGAGCCCTGGGGTTGTTTAAGTTTATATGGGAAACAGCCAGAGTGAAAGGAGACCTTGAACTGCAAGGCCATTTATGGTGCATTGGCACTCATAGCAGATCACTCACATATAGAGGGACTACATTCTTGTTGCATGGGATTGATTGTTTTCATTAAGGGACTTTACGATTGAAGGTTTACCACGTTGGGAAGACACTTTCATTTCTGTTCTTGATAATTGCTGCAATGGTTTATTGTGCATTTATTTTTAAAATAAGGAAATTAGTTTGACACATCAATGGGTGTCTGTTCAAGTTGCAATGTGGGAACCAGATTCTAAGGCGAGTATATTTGACTTGCCTAGTCTGGTTTGAACTACTTTTCTTCATTTAGTTCTCACCAAAGCTATTTAAAAGTTTATTAAAAGTTGATACACACACTACAGTGACAAACAGACAAAGACTTGCATTTTATCCAAACAATCCAATGTAAAATATTGTTAACGTTTGTCTTTACAGTATTTTTTGTTAATGTTATTAGTCAATGACACGCGGGATAATATTTAAGGTAAATTCGCCCCCACTGATGAATTTTTCTGGATACACCACTGGCCATTGCATTGGATTGTCAAAGCTGTTTTAAAGATAAGTTTGGTCTATGACTTCATCCCAGGGTGTGCATATCACACTTTAAGGACTGTCCCACTTTGATAGGGAAAATAGTTTGTTATCTTTCAGCATATCTTATTCAATCTTATTCATTATTCTTCAAAAAAGAAGACTGAATTGGTATAGTCTTCAGAAGTTTTCTCAATTTTCTATAAAAATTAGTTTTGCAGAAAAAAGATTTTCTTATATTAAGCTTCTACGCTTGGTTTATTACTCTTGTTTTAAGCTTCACACTGTCTTCTTTAAGCTTAAAGGTTTGCTTATCATAAGTTTCTAAGCTTGACTTATTACTCTGCTTTCATGTTTTAAATTTCTTTGTCTTATTTCTCATTTTCTGGATTCTTAATTGTTAAGGTTCAATGCTTTGTACTACTGCTGAACTACATGCTATTTATGTACTTCAATCTATTGATACTTGAATTTTTGAATGGTTGGACAGTGATAGGTTCCTAGCTAATTCACAATGAATTACAAGAAACAAGATGAAGAACAGAGATATGATTACATTGAAAGGGTTCGTATTACAGAAAATAGAGAGAGAAAATACAAGACAGTTCCAACTTCCAAATCCCAAGCCCAAATGATAATTCCAACCTCCTTTCTATTCTCCCCTCCACATCTATTTATACTAACTATTCTAATATTATTATTACTCTTATTATTATTAGTGCTATTCTGCCGGAGTCCTATCATATCTCCCCCCTTAAACATCCACCTTGTCCTCAAGGTGGGTGATAGGAATCCGCCTTGATCTTCAACTTTATCTTCATCCTGGCGCCTCTCCCTTCCCAATATCTCACTGAATTCTTAACCTGCAACTCCGGTACTTGAACCTTCATTTTCATGTTCTTCACTGCCAGTAGGAGTAGATGCAAAATCCTGGTGGCAGAATACTCCATGTGCTTACTTATGAACTCTTCAAATAAACCATTAACCCATTGAAGAAGCACAACATCACCTATTGACTCTGCATTCACTTCAGCAGCGTTAGAGTCCTCCAGGTTGATAAAGTAAAATTGCTTGTGACCCTTTTCTGCATTTTCTTTTGGGTGTGCCTCATAGGCATGCACATCCAGCACCTCCCTTCCAATATATTCAATGATAAAACACATATCAAATACTCCTTCAAAATTTTGCAGTCCGTACCCCTTGTTTCCACCCTTATACCACTCCAGTTTAGCATCCTTCCATCTCTGAAAGTGTTGGTTCAAACCTTGCACACCATAGTTCTCTTTTGCATATAACTTGCTAATCAATTCAACTGCTGGGCTCGGCTCAACCCTCGAATCCACAAACCACTTTGATAGTTCGAATGCTTCACTTTTAGGTACCTCCCCTTCTGCTAGCTTATATATGAAGCCAATCCTAGCACTCCCTTGCCCATTCATCTTGCATTTTGCAAGATACAGAAATAGATGGACAATAGCATTGATGATCATTTGAGATATAGTCTGAATATTAGGGAGCAGGAAGTTCATCTTCAACCTTGGGGTAAAAATATCTTGAAACTCAGTAACAGAGTGCAGCATCCCAAAAGTTGATTGTTGATTGTGCATTGTTGCTTCAGCCTCTTCATCATTAATAGCAAACTTTTCTCTGCACACACCCTCCAACCAGGCTACAAGACCTCCAAGTGAAAACTCTACCCCAAGTGGAACTTTTGCATCTGATATCCCAGAAAATGGGTAATCATGGTTCTCTTGTGCCTCTGGACCAGTCCTACTTTTACCCTTAAGCTCACTAAGTTTTCCAAATGTAAGTTTGGTCCCATCAGATGAAACATGTGGATCTAAAATAGGCAAGGTTGATGTACTGGCCACGTGCCACAGGTCAAACATCAGGAACATGTCAGCATAACCATCAGTAGTGTAACTCACCTTTTTCTTCCTATTTCCAGTCATACTTACTTCCAGCCACTTTTGAATACACTTAATAGAAGTAACACCATCAAATCTGAAGTTATCAAACTCATTCAACCTTTCCAAAATTTCTTTTTCTAATTGATGGTGCACAACATTCATTAGAATATCCAGTCCAGGTTCAAGACTTATATCAATCCAAGATTTGAATTCCTCAGGATTACAGCCTAGTATACCAGCATACCTCCTAGTATCATTGTTAAAGATACGTGTGTGAAACTGGGCCTCTTTATCCTCTCCTGTATCATCGTTGGTCAGTACCAGGGCAACATCAGTGGGTGCTGGACTATTTGTTTCGTGATGGTAAAGAATGTCAACTTCGCTATTTTTTGAAACTGTTGGTGCCGCCTGCTTCAACTCAGTATTGATTTCCGGAAGTAGAACCCCTGTAAATCCTTTTCCTGACGCGACGATGGTTATGTTATCTGAAATGGATGATTCAGGTGGACATGTCGAAGCTAGCACACTGGGAGAAGTGGCTTGCAATGACATCTGCGAACTGGTAGCAACTGTTAGCGCTTGAGACAAATCTTGCGAACCCAGCGACAAACTTTGCGAACTCGGCGAAATCTGCAAACATAGAAGCACTGTTCGCGTCTGCGAACTGGGAGGAACTGTTCGCAACTGCAAACTGGGAAATTCTTCCCTCGATCGATTCGCATTTTGACGCGAACTGAGAGCCGGTGAAACAACCTGCGAAGAGTTCTGCGATGGAGCATGTGAACGGTGAGAAGTTTCTCGCGATGGGACCTGCGAACTTTGCGATTGAGACGATCGGTGAGGACAGTCATGTTGAGCGTTGCTCCTTGAGGTTCTTGATCTTCTTCCCTCACGTTGAGCGTTCTGCTGCAGAATCAGTTTGCGCAACTCAGCGATATCTCTTCTCACCTTGTCGCTATCATAGCAAACCCTCGATATCGTTCCGCATCTCCTTGCGGTCGCGTACCAGACTTTCCAGTCTTTCTTCCATCGTTACGCGCGTATCAACCAGTGACAGGTGGCAGGCACGTCGCTCTGATACCAATGATAGGTTCCTAGCTAATTCACAATGAATTACAAGAAACAAGATGAAGAACAGAGATATGATTACATTGAAAGGGTTCGTATTACAGAAAATAGAGAGAGAAAATACAAGACAGTTCCAACTTCCAAATCCCAAGCCCAAATGATAATTCCAACCTCCTTTCTATTCTCCCCTCCACATCTATTTATACTAACTATTCTAATTTATACTAACTAAATTTCTTTGTCTTATTTCTCATTTTCTGGATTCTTAATTGTTAAGGTTCAATGCTTTGTACTACTGCTGAACTACATGCTATTTATGTACTTCAATCTATTGATACTTGAATTTTTGAATGGTTGGACATATATAAGCCGGAATTAACTTTAGGCAGATTTAATTTTAGGCAGTTTTTGACCATTATGTGATACACAAGGTATATGTTTACTTCTTCAAAATCTTTTATATGGTTCTCTCAGTCTTCATCCCATATCTTCTTGAATTACTCTCTTCTTGCGATGACATTTCAAAACACAATCTTGTATACCTAAAGGCATAATCCATCTCCCCAAAAATTTGTCCACTTCTCACCCTAATTTCATATATACCGTTGTATTGTCCTCCATAATTCTCCCCTGATTTTCCTCTTTCTTCTTGCTCATAATCATCAGTTTCTTCAGTTTCTTTTTCAATGTGTTGTTAGTCGCAGCGAAAATTGGAACATTAACGGAGCTCTGATTTCTCAACGGTTCATTCTCTTTAATGTCTCAACCGTTAATTTTCTCTCCGTTCTCATCTGAGTCCTATATTCCCCTTTTCTCCATTTTTCAGATTCTATGTCCCCATAATAATCATCCATTCATCCACAGCCATGGTGTGAAAGGTCATCACAAACACAATTCAATACGGAGTATTTCAATAATTTAGGTATGATGTTTCATTTTCTACGTTCTACATTGTAATTGTTCATTCTGTGTCTCTACTAATCTAATTGCCCCCGTTCCCATTTTCCTCCTTCCTCCATCTCCATTGTCCTCTCCATTTTTTTAGCTTCATCCATCCTCATCAATTTCAGTTTTTCAGTGACAGTCTCTATGTAAAAAATTCATCACAAACTCAATTCAATATTATTATGGAAAAATGGACAAGAATAATCCCAACTATTAGTGATCCGCTTGAAATAATCCAAAGTATCAATTATCTCAAAATAAGTCCAACTATTGAAAAAACATCTCAAAATACTACAGGGATAATAAATAACATGTAAATGACTTATAATATTTTATTTTCCCTGGAGTATTTTGAGATATTTTTTCAATAATTGGGATTATTTTGAGATAATTGATAATTTGGATTATTTCAAGCGGATCACTAATAGTTGGGATCATTCCTGTCCATTTTTCCTATTATTATTTAGGTATGACATTTCATTGTCTACATTCTACACTCTATGCTAAGGTTGAAATGCATCAGGGTTGAGTTCAATCATCTCTAGAAGTCTAGAACCGCTTATTCTTGCCTAATTTGTTTTCTGATAGATCACAACAATTTCACAGAAGAAAAACAGAAACAATATAGAAGAAATCTCCAGAACTTTATTGAATGTAACAAGCAACAATGGCCGAAGCCCCCAAAAGAGAGAGACAGTAAATCTCAATCTTTCCCAGTCCAGACTACAACAGTCTAACAGCCTACTGACCTCTCCCAGACTTATTCTATTTATAACCATCTAGCTTAACCGTAAGTAGTTAATAGCTAACAACAGAATTTAACTATCAACTAATTAGCCTATTTATTCCTTGTACAATATACTCGGCCATAGTATTTTTTTCTTTTAGTAAAAATGCCCAGTTGATTGTTCTAATAATCATCGACGGCCATGGTGTGAACGCTCATCACAAGTTCAGTCTCGCATCCTCTCCTAAACAAACATCGTGTATATCTTTAAGTGTGATTTTGGGCGACGTGAAACTGGATTGAATTCAAGTTCCACTCGGTGTTTAAATTATTACTTCACAGATACATCTTTTTTATATTGATATTTCTGGGAAAATAACTTTTATGGAATCCAAGACTCTCACAGCTGGGAAAACTCTTACAATTGTGGATACAAGTAATTCTCATGATTTAGTATTTGGGCGTGTATTCAAACTTATTATTAGTGGAAACGTTTTCTCCTTAGATACAAAGAAATGATGATAAAAACAACAACAATAATAATAGTAATTAATATTATTATCATCATCATAATTGTTGCTATCTGCGCTTTGCAGAGGTTGGACGAATTGGTACAGGCATTTGTTATGATATTTGATTTCAGAAGCTAGTTATGCTATATGCATCGAGAGGTTGGGTCTTTCTCTTTTTGTGCATTATCTTTTGTATTGCCAGCCAACTGATGGTTGTGCCATCACTGACATTGATCACCAGGCATTCACTTGCTGCTATCCTGGTGCCTTTAACATGACTACTGGATCACTCCACTGGGAATTACTACAGAGGGTAAGATAAAAATGTCATTTTTTCTTCTAAAGATAAAAATGTCATTTTTTCCCTTTCCACTGTATTGGAAGAAGTCCTCATCGCCAAGTCCTTTGGTTTGAAGTGCACACTCTGTCATGCTATTACATATTTTTATGCAATCAAGGATATGTCCTTGCTGACTGCTATTTTCATTCTTATTGCAGGGCTGCAGATAATCAGGTACCCTGCTCTCATTTTCTCTTAAGATCTACTACGTATATCTTATCAAATGAGGCTTTGAAGCTATAGGGTTAGGAATAAAAAAACTAACTTCCCTGCTGTAGGCAAGGAAGGTGATCGATGGTTCCATCAACAGACTGTTAGATTATGCATTTCCAAAGCTAGTTATTATTCCAATTTCCAAGTGGTAAGCCTCATAGGAAAAAGCCAGAGTCCTAAAACAGGAATGGTAAGAGTTCTAAACTATAACAAACTCAGAAATAAGAGATTGACTAAAATATGGAAAGCTAAATAATAGGAAATGGCTAGGATACACAAAACTAATTAAATAGATGTAGCCAATATAATTTGTGGACCAATTAATTAGGCTTCTTTCTATGCCGATGGTACTCACAGACGAAACAGCCTGTATCAGGCTAGTGTGATACTATTTTGTATGACTAGCCAGTCTTAAGTACCTATACAGCCTTCCGTGGCTGGAATGCGAATCAGGATATCACACAAATTCGTTAATATTATTTTCTATACACAAATCACAACTCACAAATTAGAGCTTGTATGATGGTTGCTGAAGGGCATTGCTGTTGTGCCTTTTAAAATATGTAATTGAGTACAAAATCTGCAGAAAAGTGAGGAGAAAACAAAAGGACTTTCCAAGATGAATTCATTCCACTTTTGGTCTCCAGCTTCTGTTTTTCTACTTTTGGTCCCACAGCTATAGTTATTCACTTACCGCACTCCTGACCACTTAACCCGGTCAATTTCTGTAAAACTTCTGGTTGACTTCGGTCAAAAATGTGGTTGAGTGGACTGTAAATGATTCCCCACTGATGATGCAACTGCTTGTTTTGGTTCTTTGTGCAGCCAACTTAAGGATGACGGCTTATCTGCCACAACAAAATTGTGTCCTCTCATCAAGTCATTAGTATTAATGTCATGCCCATCAGTTGGGTCTGATGGGCTCTTGTCTTTATGTGGGCTTTTAGATTTGACTTATCTTGACCTGTCCTACACCTTCCTGGTCAATTTGCAGCAGGTACTTTTCCTTCGGCTGACCTTTTTTCTACTATGTAGTTTTTATTGTAGTTAAATAATTGAACATGTATTTTTATCATGTATATCTAGATATTTATATGCACATATGGGCTTCATAGTATAGGCTTATGTTTAGGGTACCCTTCTTCCATTGCACTCCTGTTCAAATTCTAAACATGATTTGGATCCCTCTAGGTTGGGTTTCATTAGTATTGGCCCTTTTTGTTTGGTCTGTAGTATCTAGAATAGCCAAAGTGTTTAGAGTCCAGATTTATCATAAGAGTAAATGTTTCTTGCATTGTCTTTTTACTTGTAATCATTGTTCTAAAACTTGCTAGGCGCTAATCGGGCGGTTGAGGGGCGTCTAGCACCTAGGCGGCTGACTAGGCCGATTTTTTGGCCGACTAGGCCGATTTTTTGTCCGACTAGGCCGACTAGGCCTCTACCGTTAGGACCGACTAGGCCGACTAGACCGATTAATCGGTCCGACTAGGCCGATTTTTAGAACACTGCTTGTAATATTTGGAGATGATAATATTCTATAATTGTTGAAGTGTATGATTTATCTTTACAGCCATGTACTGTTGTACATAGATATGTAATCTTACAATATATCTTATCAAATTAAAAATAACATAAAGCCCTTTCTAAAGTTGAGTCGCTAACTCAACTACTTCCCCTCACCCCATTAGTAACTGAGAGAGAAAAAATTTAGTACAACAATTTAGTTACAATTTCTCTTCCACAGTTCGTAGTTATTATGTATGGGAATCATGACACTTTGTCTCTGAGTTATACCCCTTAGACTTTCAGCCGGGTATGTGATGTCACAAACTCTGCATTTTTAGTCTAAGTTTTCTCGAAATGACCGTTTTAGTGTTCAATCTCAAAACTGTAATTGAGGACTACCTAAATAGCTACTTCAGGAAAATGGAGGACCGAAAATGTTGACACTAGCAATTTGTGTACTAGAAGTGTACCAATGATATACCTTGTGGACTAAAAGTGCAATTTTTTCTTATGTATTGATATCTTGGTATAAACTGCTGGTCCTTGTTCTGCTATTGTTCATTTAGGTATTGAAATTGCAAGCATGCATGCCAGCAAGACATGGAGATGACCAGATGGTTTTTGTTGTAATAAAGTTCATGTCTATGCGTGAGACTGTGTGGGAAAGAGATTTGGATGGAACAACTTGGAATCTTAAGATGAAGGTTGTAGCACTGTAAATGCGCTGGCATATCTTCACAACCCCAGAAGCCAAAATATGTATAGGGATTTCAATTTATCTAATAAATTGATTGAATTTACGTGCAGAACCTTAACTCAGTATTTCACTCATCCGTAACACTACAGTGGCGTTTACTTTCGATTTAATGGTCTAAATGGAAACAACTTATTCGGTCAGCTACTCAGCTATATACCCGTGTTTACATAGGACTTATTTTACAATGACTTATTCGCTAAGACCATTTTTGACTTGGTCGTTCTGCCCAAATTGAAAAGTCCTTACGCTTCAGACCAAACTTATTAAAAGCGAAATAAAGCGACAAAAAGCGTGAAGCGTAGGCTAGCGATGGCCTATCGCTAAGATTTACAGAAGCGCACCCCTGTGAGAAAACGTCGTTTTTTTCCGCCTTTCCTTAAGGCGTCGCTGCGCAAAAAGCGAGCGCTTTTAATCGCCTCTCACAAAAAGCGACGGGTAGGTCAAAGCTGAGCCGGTATTTTTTTTAGTTTTAGTTTACTTAGGGTTACGAATTAGGATAGTTTCCATTCCTTAGAAGCTCGATTCCATTTGTTCGAAGACTCCAGGTATTCTTCTTCAGAGCCGCGACAACCAGGAACGATGCCAATCTGCTGAGCCGCTGAAGACTGAGTTATTCTTCTTTCTTCTTCGGTTCTTCCAGCTGCTGAGGACTGATGTATTTCTCTTAGTCTGCTATTAGCCTATTACTCATTGGTTCTTTCTTCTAATCATCTTTCCCTTTCTGCTGTTTCTGGAGCTTAATTTCAGTTTTGCGGCTTCTGCCAGCCTTGTGTGTGATTTTATTATTTGTTTTAGAAACTAGTTAATTGCAGTTTAATTGCAGCTCTGCCGATTCTGGAACTATTTCCAGTTTAGAAGAAATTTTCTTATAGTCTGCCATTACTTATTATTTCTTTTAGGCCGACGACGGCTCTGTTCATGAACCTGTACCAGATCGGCCGAGGGAGCCACAAAAACTGTGCTGGTTATGCTAATCTCCAACAGCTGCCAAAGTAGAGGAGTTTCACTGACCTCCCTTCGTCCATTCATGGTTGGAAGAGCAAGTTCGTCTTCGTATCTTTGGGTGAGGACAGCACGGAGTTTCCCTCGGTTGGTCATGACGGTAAGTTCACCATTCACGACGTGCCGAAGAGCAGTATTTTGGATGCCCAGGTAGCGGCATTTCTTAAGGAAGGGCCGAGGAGCGTGAAACATTACATTACAGAGTATAAGATGACCGCCCTCGGCTTCATGAGGTATAATGTGTACGGCGACAAGGAAAGTGACATCGAGCTGTGGCCGAAGATGACCACCACCTTTGAGGAGGCCGACGGCCCGGATATGGGCATTCCTACTGATGCCGATGGTAATACCTTCCGTGGCGTCTTCGTCTATGTTTTCTTTTGTTTTTGCTAACTGTTTGTTTTCCTTGTTTTGCAGACTTCACTATGGATCGTAGATCCGTCATTGCCCTAGCCAAAGCTAAGGCGAAGGAGGAGATGGCTGCAAAGGAGGCCGCAAAGATGGCCGCTGCGAGCGGCGCCCAACCAAGCTCTGATGCGGTGAAGAAGCCATCAACGCAGCCGAAGAAGAAGCGGCCTGCTGATGACGGCCAGAAAAAACTTACCGATGCCGGCATGCAATCCAAGAAGCCGAAGAGGGCTTCCCCTCTGGCGGATGTTGGTGCTGGAGGTCTGGCCATACCGGATGATGATGCCGGGGGCTCAAATGCCATTGTCGTTGTGGACGTGGTTTCGGTCCCCTCTTCGGTGGTCCTATCTCAGCCGCCGCCTATCGGCCAAGAGCCCCGCAAGCAAAGGGCCGACAAGGAGCTGGCCGGTGGGATCTACAAGCTCGAGGTCGAGTATCCCGTGAAGGGTGGCGTCTTCAATGACGCCGTTGACGGCCACGATGTCCTGGCCCAGGCTGTCCCGGTCGAGGATCGGGCTTATTTGAAGAGGCTGGGTCCCGTCAGGATCTACGATGGCGGTATGGACCTCATCGTCCAAGTAAGTTCTTCATACTTTACGTCTTTTTGTGTCATGGGTTTGGCGTCGTCCTCATTCTTCATTTTTCCTTTTCGTTGCAGGGCGCTCTCATGCTGATGGAGAGCCACAAACGGCAGGAGCAGGAGATTGCCCGCCCGAAGGAGGCTGAGAAGAAAGCCACTTCGGCCGAGGAGGCCATGGCCTACCTGGATCATCTCCGGGAGGAGGTGAAGGCCTTGCAGAAGGGGGTTGATGAGGCCGACGTGGCCTACCGGTAGGTGGCAGCCGATAGGGACGATGCTTTGAGAGCCAGGGATGAAGCCCTGAGAAGCCGTGATGAGGCCCTGCTTCGGGCCGAGGACGCTGCGAGGGCTCAGGCGGATTCTGAAAGGGCTGCTGAGAAGGCCGTTGACGGCGCCATCGAGAGGTTCCTGGCCAAAGGCTGGAAGGCCGATGACCGCCGGCCCTGGTGCTACGAAGTCGTGGCGGACCGGCTCGAAGACTGGGGCCAGAACTGCCCTGCTAGCCAAGAGTATTTTGCTCGTGAAATGACTGTGTACTACGACATGGGTCAGCAAAGGATGCAGCGGCTGATATACCGGAGGCTGCACCGGGCGTTCAAAAAGCTGAAGCTCACCCAGAAGTGGGCTAAGAAGAACCTGAAGCTTCCACGACTGATGAGGGATCCGGAGGCCGAAACGAAGCTCCACCCGTCTGAGAGGCAGGATCCGGTGCTCAGCTCTTCAATCGGGGAGCCTGACTGGTCCAGCGATGACACTCTGGCCGATACTGCCGTCTCCTCAGCAGCCGAGGCCACCGGAGGTGCCAGGACGGAGGAGGCCGAAGCGGAGCGGGTGGCCGAGGAGACCGTCCCCGAGAGTTGATCGGCTGACTTATCATTTTGTAATTTAGCTGGGCTGGTGTTTGTAACGCCCTTCTCTTTAGTAATGGCCGTTGAGCCCTCCTTATGTAATGACCTTATATGAATGAAATGTGCAATGTTTCCGACCTTATTCTGTCTTCTCATCGTCATGTTCTTCTTTTGCGTTTGTTCTCAACTTTTCCAAGATTTTTCTAAGTGTTTGGAATTGGGACTTAGGTTATTTTTCTAGGTACCAAGGTTTCACGTGAGTGGGTGTCCGCGTCGTCTTTGCATCACGCCCCCCCTTTTCTTTTGCCCGAGACTTTGGAAAATTTTCTAAGTGTTGAACTATATGCCACACTTGGTGATCTCGTCGGCTCTGTGTTTTTTTCGGCCTTTCTTTTTGTTCCCATGCTCCGTGTTTGAACAGGAAGTCACATCTGTTTTATGTATTCGTAGCCGATGAGGGCATCTGTCCTTTGCCCGTCCTATGTAACTTAGCCTTGACTGAGTGGATAGTGCTGTTGTCCCCTTCGGCTTTAAATGTTTTTGCTTGTTGCCTTCGTTATTCCAATTTTGAAATTTGTCTAAGTGTCAAACCAGCACATAGATAGCTACCGCCCGTTGCTGGGGCCGAGGCGGGCGTTTGAGTGCCTGCTTCGGCTTGAGGCTGTCCCCTCGTTATTCAATACTTTGGAGATTTCTCTAAGTGTTGGGCCATGTAGTTTTCTTCTGCTTAGTACCGTTGTCGGCCAATTTGGGCGGTGTGGCCGATGAAGGTACCCGGGTGTTGCGCACCCGGGTGCTTGCCTTTTCCTTCGCATTTGCTTTCTTCAAAAAAATTTCTAAGTGTTTGAAATTCACTTAGGCAACTTTCTTCAAAAATTTTCTAAGTGTTTGCAATTCCCTTAGGCAACTTTGCCCTTTGTTGTTCGCTTCTTCTTGGGGATGCCTTTTCCCTTTTGCCTTTGAAATTTTTCGAAGTGTTCATCTTGAGTAGCCGCCTAGGTTTTAGCGCTTTTAACGGCCAGCAAGAATGTTGTGGCCGGTAAGCGTTGCCGTCAGTGTGTTCAACTTTCTGTCCTGGACCTCTTTTCTGGTGTTCAACTCCAGGATTGTGTTAAGTGTCAAGCTGGGACTTGGTTTGCATGCTGAGTGTTGGAACTCGGTCGGTCATGGCCGATGAAGGTAACCACCCTCGTTTCACCCAACCACTTGGTTATGATTCTATAGGTGCATGCTCCGTCCTTGACACTTTCCTCATAGGGGGTGGCCGCTTCGTCCGAGTTACCAGTTGGTAGTGTTACCTTCGTATTCAACTGATATGTACTTAGCCAAATGTGGCTTGATTTGTGGGAATTTATTTTTACTGCTCGAGGCCGGCAAGTGCGCACGGTCCTCGGCTTCCCTTTTTTTTTGTTCCCTATTTCGGGGAGTGTCCTTCTTTCAGGCTTCGGCCGAAGGGGTCGATAGTCCTCCGGTTGGTTTGGACTTCGTTTATAACGTCCATGATCTCAGGGGGGTCCCATCGCCTATTTATGACGCGGGCTAGACTTTTTGGTTGGTTTCCAACGCCTGCCGTTGCCCAACCCTGAGTTTGGGGATTTTGTCACCTCGGCCATGATTTCAGGCCTGTCGTCCTGCGATCAGGCGCGTAGACGACGCGGTGAACTTCTCATTTCAAGACGCGGGCCATTTGTGGGTCCATCGTCCTGGGGACATCGTCAGCCCTGCCTGAGCGTTTCGCTCTTTCAGCTGGGCCTAAACCTTTCGCGGATGCAAAATACAATGGAGCATACCTGAGCCTTTCGCTCTAAGGCTGCAGATGCAAAGCGCCACATCGGCCATGCCTGAGCCTTTCGCTCTAAGGTGGCCGATGAGGGCGCCCGTTAATGTTTTACTCAAATTCCAAGAAATCAAAGGAAACATGATTTTTATTCATAAGTGGCTCAAGGCCGAGGGTGTTGTTCAATCAATAACCCGTCAAGGGGTGAGGGCTTCGCCGGCTGCACCTCCTTCGGATTATTGATAAAACTTCACCAGATGGCGTACATTCCACGTTCGTGGTACATTGGTCCCATTTGGGCGTTTAAGCTTGTAGGAGCCGGGTTTCACCACGGTACTGACGATGTAGGGACCTTCATACTTCAAGGCTAGCTTGCCCCCTTCCGTCAGCTGACTTGCTTCCCTTCGGCGGAGGACGTAGTCCAAGAAGCGAAAGTCAAATGTAGCTAGAAAAAAGCAGGAAAAAAAGTATACCAAGAGTCCAAGACTTAGTATATTGCATGCTCTCCAGTTCATGAGAAGGGTTCTGAAGTGTTACTTTTGTTGGATTTAACACTAGAAAATTCAAAATTTATAGTGGCATGTTTGTTTTCTCGATATTTTCTGATGCTTGTTCATTGACATTTTTCTTTCATACCCACCATTCAGTCACTTCAATCTTACACTTCACCATATTTTTGTAACCTAGGAAAAAGCTTGAACCACTGGAATCTTATGTACCAGCTGTGTTATTGGCTCAGTTGCAGATCAAACAATTAGGTAATGCTGATTTTTGTTTCACAATTTATACATTCCATAGTGAACTAAGGCTGGCAAAGAGTGACATGGTAGATTTCCATCTCACTTGAAATCTATGTCATTATGTCTCTAGTCTCCTTGATCAAATATTCAAACATCATTGCATCAACTAGGACAAATATAGTAGATGCATACCATGAAATGATGCTTTTAGAACTTTAGAAGTCTTATTTACAAGATGATCATGCCATTTCAATTATTTTTATATCATTGTGTATATTCAGCCATCTAGGGGTAAGTTTACACACCAAACAAATCCATAATTTCTTTTTTTAGTATTTAAATTAATAACTGAGGTGTCTAACTCTGTTTTTAGTATGCTGTGACAGTTGTCCATGAATAATTGCTTTTGAACTTATCACAACATACATACATACATACAACATCCATACAATGTCACAACTTCCTATGCATTAAACTAAACTAACTTTTAAAAGGGGGTTTATATGATCCCATCATTTTATGTTTTAGTTTCCTCGTCTATTTGCCTTAGAGGATATTTTCATTTCCTTCAACTCTAAAATTCAGTATTTCAGTGTACTGTGAAAGAACAGTCATGACTTTCATTCTTATAGCATTTAATATTCTGGCTATGCAATTCTGCTTTCATGATGTTTTTATGTATACAGGGAAATCTCTGGAAGTTGATCAACCGAAATATGCTGACTGCAGGAGTCTATTACGTTCTGGTCCTGCTGCATCTCTTCGTGTTAATATCCGAGCAGTAAGTTTACTAAGTTAAAGTCTCTAACTGCCTTCGTCACCCTCACCCTTTTGAATGGCTGCATATAATGTCTAAATCAAATGGTAGGTATATAAGAATCAAAAGTGAGTCTGTTCATCATGAAGATATTACTCCTTACATCCCTACTTTTTGTACCACATTTGACTTTACATAGACTACAAGAAAATGAAATGCATAAAATCAATATTAAGGACACAAATACACAATAATAGTTACTTAAAAGAAAACAGGAAGGTTATTACGGAGTATTTAGGAGCAACCCGAAAAGGAAAGAGGGTCAATTTACTGTTCTTGTGGTGATAATAGTTTTCTTCACAGTAGTGAAATTTGCGACTTTGTTTCTCAAATACCAATTGATAAATTTTATTTGCAATTGCAGGTGGCTCAATATGCATCTGATGATGGCAATGGTTCTTTAGCCTTCAGTAAAGTTGATCAATGCTTGAGGTGCTGCTTCGATTATTGTAACATATGCTACCTGATATTCTTTCGTTTATGAGAATCTGTATGATATTCTTCTATTCACCTAATGATAGATAGCTAGGTTTTGAGTTCTTGACCTGTTCACACGTACCATAAAAAACGTTATTCAGAGGCAATAGCTTATATAGTTCACACCACTTTAAAAGCATCACTTTCTCCTTGCATTTTTTGAGTTTGTGATTCCATGACATACAAAGAGTGAAATAGGTACCAAGTTTGGAAGAACTTGACTCATTGCTTTTGCATGCATCGAGAAATAAACAAGATGCATCTGTTGAATCTATGAAGGGAAAGACCACTGCAGCAATCATTGCACTAGACGAGTATACAGTTTATTTTCTCAGTTCAGTTTAAAATCATGTTTTAGAAAGCTTAGTAGTTCCATACTCATTTTTCTTGTCATCTGCAGACTTCTAAAAACGGTGCCGCCCAATGTACTTGACCAAGGGCGAACTGTAGCTGATGCATACATGGAAAGGTCTCAGGAGGAAGAAGATGAAGTACCACCAGATATCATGGACCCAAGTTTAAAGCAGTTAGAATCCATATTGTGAATGTGATTACCGTGTACTGAAGTCTTTTCATGGAAATTGCCAGGCTTTAGTTTGGACTAATTAGATATCTATCTGGATTAGTAACGAATCGCATATAGAGAACGAATAAAATGATATTTTACTTTTGAGGTAAAATGATACTGCATTTTACAACTCAAATACTATTTTAAAAAGTAAAATCTCAATTATGAGAATGAGGAAGGAGATAACTTAATTATAAGAAGAGAGTTACGTACAACTCTTTTGCAAATCACTACACGTAGGTGTGATTAACGACATTTCATGGAGGTAAAATAAAGAAAAAATAATAGGAAAAAATCAAAATAAAGTTAGCAAAGTGAGAAAAGAAGAAAAAACTGAATAATTTCCACAATGGAAAGCACAGTACTTTGTATCAATTATCAAGCAAGTCATATATGGAGCGGAAGTATATAAACAACAATTAGGAATAAAATTAGTTGGACTCCTTTTAGGAAGGAGACCGTCCAAAAATGGGTGTGTGCTACGTATTGCTACAAACACACGGTATTCTTCAGTAAAAGGTGAAAGAATAGTTCTCTTTGTGTTTGTAGCGCGGCTGCGTGAGGATTAAGTACATCAAGTTACCTGGTATATTAGATATAGATAGGTTTTGTTTGGTGTACACAAAATGTGTACACTTTTGTGTACACTCATCTGTCCCCAGTAGACAAGTTGTCTATCCACAGACAATTCTACAAGTGTACACAAAATCATTTTTCGTATATAGATACTACAACATAACTCTTCCTTACGTTCTCGTTGTGGGCTATTATTCCTATTTGTTTCCAAATCTTCAAAATGAAGCCTATTGTAGCTCTTGAATCCTTGGCCCTTTACTTCGGCACCTCGTCCTTTCTTCCAAGCGGCCAGTGGCGGAGAGAGGGGGGCCAGACTGGGCCATGGCCCAGTGCAACCTGGTCTAGTCCCATTAGGAGTATTACTAAAAGCAAAAATTTGGGAATTTTTCACAACTAGACTAAAAATTGAAAGTAATATCAATTTTATCACTCTTCAAGATTCCTTTCAAAAATAGACTCATAAGGGTTTTCCTTTCAAGTATAGACCTTGAAAACTAATGCTACCAATTAAGTAAGGGGTTGCTAACTGGTGTCGTTGCTGTTGCTCATGAAAGAATGAAAATTGACTTACGTGCTAACTTTATGCTCCAATTACACTTGCTAATTCAAGAATTTGAAACCTGGAAGAATAAAAATACAAAAATGATATAAAGATGCAAAGAAAAATGCAACAAATTTATATATTCTCAAAATTACGAGAACAACTCAAATTTTAAAAAGGTAATAAAATACAACAAATTCTTAAAATTTATAAAAGCTTGAAAGTAAAAATAATTTATTCATTTTTAAAAAATACGTAGTATGTAAACTACAATAAAAAAAGATAAAGTGTACAAAAAGTGAAAAACTTATAAATTGAAAAAGATATAAAAATTTAATTTTTTAAATCCAAGATGTAAATAAGATAAAAATGATTTGAAAATATTTATAATTATAGGAGTAATTATAAATTTTTATGAAAGACTAACTATATTTAAATTAGTATAAATGCAAAGTACAAAACCTAAAATTTTCAAATAAATAAACAAAATTTGAAAACATTAAAAAATCAAATATATATAAAAAAGATGAAAAAAAAATAAATTTTGGAAAAAAATAAAATAGAAATTAAGATTCTTAAAAGTTTATAAAATTCAATAAATTAAATAAACTAAAGCTCCTTTAAGTTATAGAATTTAAAAATAAAAATGAAAAAAGTAACGACAATATAAAAAACCAAAAAACTGAAAAATTAAAATACATAATTTTTTAGTAATATAATATTTTAAAGAGATACATATTAATTAATATTGTTTGTTGCAATTTTTTTTTGTGTTTCTCTTTGTTGATAACTATAATAATTTTTTGTTTTTTATTGTTTCTTCATGTTTCTTTTTGTTTATTCATGAATTCAAATTTATCATTTTAGGTGCTTTTATATATAGCTATATCTGATTTTTTATTCCAAGTCACTAACAAATATAAAGAACAATAAGCAACACGATACAACAAAATATAACACAATACAACAAAATGCAACACAATGCAATAAAATACAACACAATACAACAAAATGCAACATGATACAATAGAAAAAAACACGATGCACCAAAAAGAAACACATGCGATGCAACAACGAACAACAAAAACAATATATAAGAATATCACAAAACAACACGATACCAAAACGAGCAACAAAAACAATATATAAGAATATCACAAAAACAATGATGGATAGTGTACACGGGGGTAGCTTATCCGAGGGGTTATTGCGGAGAATAACTAGAGAGAAGTCAGAGCAAGTAAGTAAGAGAGAGAGTGTATATCAGATATGTATTCAACGTATTTTGCTTCTGGTTACAAATGGGGAAATGTGGTGCTATTTATAGTAGTAATAAATGCCAGATAGGGTGATTCAGGCGCATGTGGAGTGGATATTATGTCGAGAAAGGTGCCCTCGGCTACAGGTGATTAGCCGAGGGCTTTGAGTACCGGGGACCCCTTAGTGCCGAGGGCTCTAGGTCCCGAAGGCTACCGTTTTTCGCCGTTTTCTCCCAGTAACTTTGTGTGCTTGAGCTGGCCGTCCTGTGAGGATTTGGAGCCTTCGGCCAGGGGGGCGAAGGCACTCCCAGTGTGCTGCGTGGGTTGCTGAGTACTTGGGGTGCTGTGTTTTGGGCCTGCTGTGCCCCCTGGGCCTATTGGGCCTTTATCAGAATAGTAGGAGTCTATGTGCTGGGGGTTCTTGGGCCATATACTCCATCAGGAGTCCCTCACTCCTTTTGTCGAAAGGTACTTGAGGGAAAATGAGTAATCTGTGCTTGTCCTTTTGGTGTAGTTCCGTTGTAGTTTGTGGAGTTTGTGAGTACTTTGTTGTGTGCATGTTTCAGCCGGGGGCAATCCCTCAGTTACCCACATTCCGGGATTTGAGGGATCATGTTTGTTGTTGTGGGAGTTTTTGACATTTTTTTTATTTTGAGATTATCCCGAAGGGTCCTCCAGTCCCCCACTCCTTGAGGCACTTGCAAAGTGGTGAAAAGGAGTAGAGTAGTGCCTGTCTGCAATATAGAGCCGAGGGGTGATGCTTTTCATTTCATTTTGGGGGGATGCCTCGTTAAAAACCTCATTGGAAAAAACCATGTGGGAAAAAATTCCAATGAGGGAAAAAGAGTGCACCGAATTCCCCCAATGATGAGTCGAAAAGGTAAAACCCTGGTCTGAAATGAGTGTCAATATTTGTGCCGAAGGCTATCCTTGTGTGAAGGCGCGTGTGTTGCTTTGCCGAAGGCTTGCTGTTGTTATCATGAGGGATGCCGAAGGGGGAGCCCCCAAATTATGGGAATGAGGGCGTGATAAATGTGGGTGATGTTTCCGGTGTTGCCGAGGGGTCCCTTGTTTGTTTACAAGTGGGGTGCTGTGGTGCCCCGAGGGGCTCCTTGTTGCGTGGCCGGGGGCTTCTGGAGGGGTGAGCCCGAAGGCATTCGTGATGCAGTATGAGGGGCCTAAGCCGTGAGCATCTCTGGGTGAGTTTACCCGGGAGCTCCTCATGATGAAGTGGAGCGAAGGAGAAAGCCCGGGGGCTAGTTTCTTGGCTGATGAAGGAATGGTCTGCCGAATACAGCCGGGAGCTCCCAGAATATAGCCGTTGTAAATAGAGCTGTTGGAATACCTAACGTCAGAGATATAGCCGTTGGGGGGGCACCACGTGGTGTGCGTTTGTTGGCCGCCTGTGGGCAGGCGTCACCGATTGGGCAACTCGTCGGTTTGTAATGATGACTTCGTTCCGGAGGCCCGGTTTTCAGGCCCAAGCCCGGATTTAGGCGCCTATAAATACCCCAAGGCCAGGGTCATTTCCTTTGTGCGATTTCATTGTAGCGAAGCTCTGCAGAATTTTCTAGAGAGAGAAACACCTGCCCTCGATCCAATTCTCGTTCCAAGGTCAGTTCCCCACCTGCTCTTCTCCTCTCTTAGTTAGCTGTGCTCCGTGTCCTTAGACTAGGAGTTAGAATTCCGTAGACAGCCCTCGGTGTAGAGTATCGTCTTCGTAGCATACCAAGATGTCGTCCCAGAGCGATTCTCAGGACATCTCGAGGGAACCTTCGGTTGAGGATGAAACTGTCTCCGATGTGGAGTCTTCCAGTGAACAGCCTTCGGTGGAGAATGATGCCGCTGTGGCAATGGAATTGCAGAGAGCCCTCGTCGCTGAGGTGGAAGCCGAGGGCTTCGAACAAGAATGCGAGGATGAAGAGCTGGCCCTCGCCTGGAAAGTGGCCGAGGAAGAGGCGCAGAGAGAGAGAGCGTGAGGGTCACTGTCGCTATTCTCCCCCCTCGCGACGCTGGTGAGGCCAGCACCTCTCGGCCATTGAACGCGGTCCCTCTCTGGGTGGCCCCCGGGAAGAAGAAGACGAAGGGTGCCGCTTCAAAGAAGAAAGGCAGTGTTGCAGACCAAGGGAAGCCTGTCGACATGCCCGAGGGGGTACTCCTACCTGAATACCGCCGCCCTTGAGATACGATCGAAGGCTGATGGGGCGGACCTACACGTTACCCAGCTCCACGTGGGGCCCTCGGGGATGGTGGTGCCGCCGGGAACAGATGATGTCCTCTCCCGGGCCCCCGAGGGATGTATAGCCGTTCACATTCTCTCGGTGTCAATGGGCCTCCGATTCCCCCTGCACCCTTTTCTGCGTGAGTACCTTCGGTACGTAGGACAGCTCCCCTGCCAGCTCACGCCAAATAGCCACTCGTACATCGCGGGCTTCCTCCATCTCTGCAAGTCCCAGGGGGTAACCCCTAGTTTGGACCTATTCTTCTAGAGTTTCAACTTGTGTCGGGGGGGGGGGGGCATGCGAATGCCGAGGGCTTCGCGAACTTGCAGCAGGTGGCTCTGTTCAAGTTGTTTACTGAAGCGCCCTCCTCAAACAAAGGGTGGAAAGACTGATGGTGCTATGTAAAGCTAGTCGAGAGCCCATTCCCGAGGGAGTTGCGCGACCGGTTCAGGCGTCATGAGAAGAGGAGGAGC